AGACGGCTTGTTGCCCTGACAGAATGAATGACCGACTTTTAGCAATAAAAAAACTACGACTGTACATCAGGTGAATTTAATCACCACGCAGAAGAACCAAGTGAATGCTTAAATGATTTTTAGCAGCGACTCTCAATAGAAGGCAGTGTATTAGAAGTAACAACCCTTTGGAGCTCAGTGGTAACTATATGTACCACCTGCTTTAACAATTAGTAACTCTTTATTTCTTGTTTGCAAGTTTTGTATGTTTTTTCCAGAATAAACAGCGATCATTTCCTTAAACAACGTTAACCAGTTGATCTACGTAATGGTGAAGTGTGGTGTTTTCTTCGCGGTACGGACTGAGTTTTTAAGTATTATTCAGAGAACTTTGAGTCTCAGAATAAACAGCGATCATTTCCTTAAACAGCGTTAATCAGTTGGTCTTCGTAATGGTGAAATGTAGTGTTTTCTTCGCGGTACGGACTGAATTCTTAAATAATAATGAGACGAGATCTGCGTCATGGAGTTCCTTGGTTACTTTTGTAATTAAAGCTGAAAATTTTGTTTCCATTACGATAGATCTTCATATTTTACGCAGTCGTCCTCAGGCTGTTCGGATCTGGTAGATTCTTTGAGATTTATCTTCGCTCTGGTCTTGAATTCAAGGACCTCCGGGCACAGAAACACGGCCCAGGACAGTCAAAGTCAGCGGAGTTGTGGACCTTGGCTTAGTGCGTAGCTCAGTAGCCTGACTGTCTCCGAATGCCCCTGGCAACGCTGACAGTTGCCACGCACTTCTGGTTCAAAAGCCTGAACGGAGGAAATGAACCTTGAAGAAATAAGGAGTGAACTACATTTTCCATTGGATTTCTCTTGCGAACGGGAGGTGGGTAATTCGATTCGTTCAGCGACTGTCAGCGTCTCAAGGAGGACCCCGTACAGTCGGTTATCTGTAACAGGCATCGGACATTCTTATTTCATGGCTGTGCCTCACGGCATTTTAACTTGGGGTTTCGAAGAACTTCCCAGCTGTTACAATTAATGACGTACGACAGCTGACTGTGGCCTCTCACGGGGACCACCAGTTGATCAGGTGCATGGTGTGAGGACACATCGCCGTCTTCAGGGCCATGAAGTCGTTTAGTACTATAGGCAGCCACCAACGCTAGTAGTAAGCATCTCCGAAACGTCGAAAACACAACATATCTTACAGAAACAGGATTTATATTAGATTTGTACCGTCGCGAAAGTTTGAAATCTTTTGAGCAGTTCTGTACACTGCCGATGTTGGTGTTCTGGGTTGTAAGGCTGTGTGAATATGAACGTACCAACGTTCAGGGGGAACACACGTAGTCCTGAAGATGGAAGCAGTATGTTCCTCCGAAATTGTAGTGTCTACCGGCAGATCCACACGGCGTCAGAGCTCAGAACATCGATTGTGGGCCAAAGTTAGGAGGAGGAGCAGTTTTGTGGGATTTGAAATGCAGTTTGTCCTGTCGCAAAACAAAATCGTGCTCAGGTTCGTCTGTGTTTAAACCGTCTTACATTGAACAAAAGTTTGGAAATCCCCACAGAACAAAAGCTACTTACCTCATCAAAATGCAAAACAGTTTTTTTTTAAGTTCTTAAGGGGAGGATTTCAACGGAAGAATATAAGAAAAAATGGCAACATCTGCTGTATTCATTATAAAATGTAATATCCAGCTCCTCCTTGGACCCCCTCTCTCCTTACCACAAAATTTCAATAATGGTTTCTTAATTAAGTTAAGATCTCTAATTGTAGAGAACGGTGGTTCCTTCTTCAGAACGAAACGCAGTGCAAGAACGTGACGTCTTGAAGAATCGATCACGCGGGTCGCCCAAGTGTTTTGCCATTTTCCGAAGGTAACCAATGATTTTTTCTTTTGATAATGCGATAAAATTTTATTGTTTGGTAACAAACGTAAATTACATTGACGAGAAATGTTTGCTGTCGCGTGGTTCGGACTCTTTTGTTGTTTTTTTTTTTCTGTTTAAAACATCAACGAACTCGTTCAACCGATTGTGTTGTGTGGGTCTAAAACTTGGTCTCTCGCCTTATGGGAAGAACGCAGGAGAATATTTGGACCTGAAGACAGGAACACCAGGAAGATGGAGGAGAGAACTTTCGTAATTCTCTTCACCAAACAATCCTTGGCAGTGTCACATTTTCCGGTGATTTCCGTGGCTTTGAATTTGGTTCAACAAACTTACAGGAACTATTATTAAAACATGACATTTTTTTTAAGGGAAAACATTTATCCTGTAGGCTTCTACTTCAATTTCGTTTTTTGTATCCGACCTCTAAGATCGGTCGCGCGTCGGAGACGAATACTTTTCCTTCTGCCTGTAAGACAACTTTATACGTTTCGCCTTTGAACCCTCCTTCTGCTGGCTGGTCTTTGTGTTTTGCTCTTTGATGATGATGATGATATAAGCAGCAGCGGTAGTGAGGTCGGTAGCGCAGGGCGTGGCTGAACGAAACCCAGGAAACTGCAATACCCTACCTAGTTCGCCTTTGAGAAGACTCCGACACACACAGAGCTCAGGCGTAATTACACCCGAAAGAGACTGAGAGTATAAACACGAGCAAACACGTCCATATTGGGCTCTGGTGCGGGCGAGACAGAGAGCTGGTAGCTCAGAAGTCGAGGCGCTTCGTTACAACAGATAACCGAGGATGGGAACTTTGTAACCGTGCCCTTTACACAGGGCTACAAAGGGACGAGAGAAGTGGCGCTGTGAATCATCTGTTGAGGTGTTTTTTTTTTACAGCAGTTCGTAAGCTTGATTTATTTTGTAATGCAACATCAACATATTTCTCGACAGGTTGTTTAAATTCTCTGTGATTTGCTTCTAAAAAATGAGATTTGTCATGCATTTCCTCTAGTAACATTGCCCAGTGGTTTAAAACATGTAAATTTACTTGAATTGAACGTCTATGGATTCATACGTAGCGATACGCAAATGTGTAAAAGCCAAAATCAGAAATTATAAGAAGTGTCCTTTTATTTTTAAGTAATATATAAAAGGTATCATTACAATATTATTAAATTACCCGTCAAGAAAGACTGGAGAATTTAAGCTAGTAAACGCACGTATTAGTAAATATTACCTCATGTAGCCCAAAATCCCTTAACACCATTACCATGGCAACGGTTATTGAAAAGAGTCGTAATTTTTATCCCATAAGGTCGAAAATCCCTTATCACAAAATGACCACTGACCGACATTTGTATATTACAGGCCTATGGACATTCTAGACACTATGGTCAGGGGATACGGAAGGAAAGAGCAAATCTAACACCCATTTTCGTCTGTCGTCTTAGTCTCAGTGCGCAAATTATTTCATTGGATGTTACGAAGAATTAAATTTAAATGTCAGATGTAGCTTGGAATATATTTATTTCAACGCCAAAATTTTGGTTATGGTATTTTCAAAAAAAAAAAAAATTATATTAGAATTAACAATTACATTTGAGTCCAATTTTCCCTGAGTAATAAAAATGTTACGTTCTAATCAACGAACAATGGAAATTGTGATGATTATTATGATAATGACTTGCGATATATCTCATTATTCGGAACCAACTGCTGATGATTATTGTTCTGTACTATTTTTTTTTTTTTTCGATTTCAAGGTCTTTGTGAATCTCACAGAGAAAAAGAAACATTTGAACGGGACGATAATAAGCTAAGAGAATGGGATATACAGAAAGAGGATTAGTAAAGGGTTCAAATGGTTTTGATAAAGATAGACAATGGGGAGGGGGGGGGAGAGGAAAAGTAAGTAAAGATGTTCATTTGGAAAAGAGGAGTGAAGAAACCGCAAATAAAGTTGAAACAGTTCTGCGACGAACGGGGGTAGTATGCTAATCACATGCAAATGTCGACTCTAAAGCGCAGGGAATTTCGTACTGAGGGGATAAAAAGTCTGGTTTCAAAATCGAATGGAAGAACTAAGATTTTTGGTCCTCGCGCGTCGCATTCTTTGAGCATCGGCAGATGCGCGCAAGCCGTGCCCCGTTACAACTCAAAATTCTGAGCCCCTCAAAGCTCACTTGTGAGGAAAATGAACAGTTGAATGTAGGAAAGAGAATTATAGTTTTTAAGTCCTGAGAAGTTCATCTCTACAGATACACGGAAACTTTGTGTAGGGGCGTTACTAGAGGGTCCATTGCCGTGTACACTGGACCCTATCCAGACCCACGTGAATGCAGTCCACACCCTCCACACATTATTTCCGGAAATCTTATTTTAATATTGTCCTCTCATCTACGTCTAGGTCTTCGGAGTTCCCAATCAAAATGTTTTCCTCTCTTCTTATCTCCCCCCCCCCCGCCCCCGGTACATGTTACATGTCGCGTCTACATCTTACTTCTCGATATGATCACCCTAATAACATCTGTTGACGATTACAGATAATGAATCATCTCGTTACGCAGTTCTTTACAGCCTCCTGACACTTCATCCCTTTTAGGTCCAAATGTTCCCTTCAACGCCCTTTTCTTAAATATCCTCAGTCTGGGTTTTTTTCCCCATAACGTGCGAGACCAAGTTTCAGACCCATACAAAACAGTAGGTAGATTTATTCCTCCTGATCCTTCGGAGTTCGCTAAAAGTTTGTAATAAAACAGTTCATAAAATTTCGTCACGTGTCCCACTCGTGTTAGCATTCTATACGTATTGAAACATTTCTTTCGGGAGATTCAAATCGTGAGGAGTACAAACCAAATCCCCCCGTTTTCTCATCCAATGAAGGTCGCGTCCCACAGGAACGTTAAACATATACATAGTAACTTTGGAAGGAAATCACTGTCTACTGGGAGGTTTAATCAAAGTGTCTTAATAACAGGGTGGAAGGAAGTCTTAAGAGAGTCTTAACGTTAAAGCTTCGTTG